CCGCAATGAGAAGCATGCACACCACAGCGAAGAGTAGCCCCCGCTCGCTGCAACTAGAGAAAGCCCACGCGCAGCAACGAAGACGCGATGCAGACAAAAATAAATAAATCAATCTGTGACCCTGTTTAAAAAAAAACACACAAAAAGATTGAATTCAGGCTAATAAGTGGCAGAGCCTGAATTTCAGCCAGAATCTGTCCTTAACCACTATGCTGGGCTTCCCTGGTGGCGCAGTGGTTAAGAATCCGCCTGCCAATGCAGGGGACACGGGTTCAAGCCCTGGTCCGGGAAGATCCCACATGCCACGGAGCAACTAAGCCCGTGCTCCACAACTACTGAAGCCCGTGCGCCTAGAGCCCGCGAGCCACAACTACTAAGCCCATGTGCCCCAACTACTGAAGTCCGCGTGCCTAGAGCCCATGCTCCACAAGAGAAGCCACCACAAAGAGAAGCCTGCACACCAGAACGAAGAGTAGCCCCCACTCGCCACAACTAGAGAAAGCCCATGCGCAGCAACAAAGACCCAATGCAGCCAAAAATAAAGAAAATAAATTTTAAAACAAAAAACAAAAAACCCCCACTATGCTATGATTCTTCTTGAATAAGAAAAACACAGCAAAGAAAATGATAACAAGAGCGTGACCTGTGCGGTGGCGGCAAAGCCAGGAGAGTGAGACGTCCAAGTAACCTGGTTACGTTTATCTTCTTATGAAATAAGAGCCAAACTGCTCAGTTGAGGCTGAAGGCTAGGTTTGAGCAGAGAAAATAACCTATGAAACAGTGATCTAGGAATGTGGAGAGGGAATGGATTCAGAAAACCTAGTGTGATTGCTCGGCAGCACTGAAGACCTGTTTAAGCTTAGTGATCGTGGATTTGAAGTCCGGTCCGTCAGAAGAGCTGTGTATTCTTCCCAGCTCCATTCACCTCGTGGATACAAGTGTGGATTAGGCAGGGAGTTAGGTTTACAAAGGTTGAGATTTCTGCGGGCAAAGATGACAGAGCAAGAGTAGTATGTGTGTCCTTAACAGGACGTGTGCAAGGGTGAGTGACAACGTGAACCGTGGAGGTTAAGGTGGGTCAGGAGGGAAGTGGGGACTTGAGGGGAAGCAGGGGGCGATGAAGCGGAGTAGCATCCCGCGGGGTCAGAGGGTTGTTGAGCTGTTGGCCTTAGAGGGAGTGGGCTGGAGAGAAAGGCGGGCGTGTGAGGGGGTGTCGATTGGAATTTAAGTTACACAGGGATTGCGGTCGTTGGCCATGTAAAGGTCCAGGGGATGAGGCAGGAGTGGGAGCCAGGAGGGCTGCAAGGCAAGAGCCCTGAGGGTGGGGAGGGAAGGCGTCGGGGAGGTTTCTCACCCACAGTGATGGCTGCAGTCGTTCGGGAGGAAGTTAACCTTGAGTTAAGAGATACAGCCTTCAGAAAGTAAGGGCTTCCAGGGCTCTGTAGGGACTGCAGACAGGAGCAAAGTGCCAAGTGGTGTTGTGTGGTGACGTGGCATTCAGAGGCGGTGGAGGTGGCCATAGAGAGGAGACACAGAGGCTGTCTGCAAGCACTGGCGGGCAGCGCAGGAGCTGCTGGCCGGGCGGGAGGAGGAATGCGGAAGAGTTGGAGCCTCACCGGCGCTCTCTGAGGCAGCAGATTCTGACTTTGCATTACCTGGGCGCGTTAAAAAATTTACTTTCCATTGAGGAAAATTTCTTCCTCTTCTCTGTAAGTTACAGAAGTTAAGTTTCTGATACTTGATTTCCCTTCATATATGCATGAAGGGAAAAGTTGTAAGTACGATACAAAGAACTTTCTTCCTGGACTGTTGAAGAGTAATTTGCCAACACGATGCTCCATCATCCCCAAACACTTTAGTGGGTATTTCCTCCAAACAAGAGTATTGTCCTACATAACCCAATGAAATCATCAAAGTTAACATTGATACATTACTGCCACTTTATCCTCAGACCCATTGAAGTTTTGCTAGTTTTCCGCATAAAGTCCTTTGCAGCAAATGATCCAGTTCAGAATCATGCCTCGTAATAAGTGCTATGCCTCTTCAGTCCCCTTCGTTCTGGAATAGTTCCTCGGTCTGTCCTTGAGTCTCATGACCGTTACGCCTTTGAAGACTGGAACCCTGATAGTTTGTAGAATGTCCTTCAGTTCTCATTGGTCTGTGATTTCCTCATGGTGTGTGACAGACAGGACTATCTCAGGAGCAGTGCTGTGCTTATCTCATATATCTCACTAGGTGGCACATGACTTCTGTGTGTCCCATTAATGTGATGTTAACTTGCATCATTTAAGTCTCTGTCAGACTTCACTGTAAAGTCACTCTTTTTCCGTTCAAACTTCTGGTGTGTATGTATGTATTTATATCAGTGTGGGTTTATGAATTTCTCTATTTTTCAGTGCATGTTAATCCATTTCTGTCATCATTTACTTTGATGCTCAGTTTATCCCCACTGACCAGGGAAACCTCTTCAAGCTGGCTTCTCTGTCCTTTTGATGTGCCCCCTCATTCTCCTAGCACTTACTTGCTTTCTGGTATGAAAAGATGGTCCAGATGGATCTTGTCCTGTGTGTGCCCCAGCTCTGGAGTCAACCATTTCTGCAAAGCCTTGGTTCTTCTTCGTGAAGAATTGTATTAGAAACCAGTACTGGGGGCTGTGTTCTCAGGCCCTGTGAGTGGACAGAGCTCGTGAGTACATGTATATACATATATATTTACCCATACACGAATACATTTACATGTATTTACATGTTTTTACACCTGTTTTTCTTTATCTAAACATGCAGTAAAAACCACGAGTTCGCATGAGTATTTCTACTTTTAGTCCAGTTTAGTCCAAAACCGCAGGATTCGTTTTATCTCCTTTCCATCTGTGGACCTTCTTTCCCTGAAAGGGCACCTGGCTCTCCTGACCCTTGGTGTGTTTTCTCACTTGATCAGCCCCTTCCATAACCAGCTCCTGTCACTGCCTCCCTCCCTCACAATGCATCCGCCCACCTCTCGGGCTTCAGCACCTCCTGCAGCCCACGTCCCTGTGCGACACCCTCCTCACCCCACCTGGACTTGCTCAGCCCTCTTGCCAGGAGCTCCTCCTGCAGGGACATTCTCCTCCCCTCACTTGGGCTCCAGTGCAGTGTATCGGGCTTCTGCCCACACCCCCCTTCACCCCCCGAGAGAAGTTTCTCTCCTCCTTTTGGGACTCCGGCACCCTGTACCAGGCTGCCCCTCTGCCAGGACCCCCTCCTCCCCCACAGCCTTAGGTCCCCTCCCATGCAGTTGCCCCCTCATCTTGCTTGGGCTCCCAGTACCTTGTTCTACCTGGATTGCCCGCAGCACCTGCACAGGTTCAGACCTCAGGCCACCCCAGCAGGGACACCCACCTTAGGACTCTGGTATCTCACTCTGGGCTCCCTGCCCACGGAGATGCCCACTGTGCATCGTCTCTAGATTAAACATCTCCAGGTTCTTTCCCATCATGTTATTTCTGGAGGATTGAGTAATAAGACAGCAAGTGGGCTGTTGGGATGACCTGACACCCAACAGCCCAGAGGTGGACCACACTTTGCGGGTAAAGGACACAGTTTTCCGTGATACTGCTCTCACCTCAGATACCAGCTGCAACTTGAGGATCCATAGGCTACCCTTGCTTCTGATCACATGGCTACAAATTGGGAGTTACTAATTACCCCCTCAGGTTCAGTAATTCATGAGAACAACTCACAGAACTCAGGAAAGCACTCTACTTATTATTAAAGTTTTGTTATAGCAAAGGGATACAAATCAGAGCCATCCAAAAGAACAGATGCACAGTGCCAGGTCTGGGAGGGTCCCAGATTTGTGAAGTCCATTGTTATCCCCCCAAGGGGTCAGGATGCATTACCCACCCAGAGAAATCTATGTATGACAATGTAGAGAGTATTACCAACCAGAGAAGCCACCCCAAGTCTCAGGGTCCAGAGTTTTTATTGGTGTTTCATGACATAGACGCGATTGATTGAATCATCACCCACATGGCTCAGTCTCCAGCCCCCTTCCCTGCCCTGAAGGTTGGGCTTACAGCATGTGGCTCAAAACCCCAAATTTCCAATCACATGGTTGGTCTCACTGGTGTGGCCAGCCCCCGTCCTGAGTCATCTCCTTACCGTAAACTGTCTGGGCCACCATGAAGAACAGAGGCACTCCTGTCATTGGGAAATTCTAAGGATTTAGAGGCTAACTCTCAGGAATTAGGGACAAAAGCCAACCAAATTCTTTATTCCAAGAGTTTAGAGTTTAGTTTACTTCCCAGCAAGCAGGACAAAAGCCAACCAGATTCTTCACTAGGCAGCTATGGAAAACTAAATTGCTTTCTTCTGTGGTATACAGATCAGTTGTTCAGTCTTAAAATATCTACCTTGAGATTTCTCATTTACCTTCTCAGATTAAGTTGTATAAGAGTTCTGTAATGGTTATAAGGTACTTATTTACTCATTTTTTTAACAATTTTTATTTATTTATTTATTTATTTATTTACTTTTGGCTGCATTGGGTCTTTGTTGCTGCGCGCAGGCTTTTCTCTCGTTGCAGCGAGTGGAGGCTGTTCTTCATTGCGGTGCGCGGGCTTCTCACTGCGGTGGCTTTTCTTGTTACAGAGCATGGGCTCTAGGTGCACAGGCTTCAGTAGTTTTGGCACACAGGCTCAGTAGTTGTGCCTCGCAGACTCTAGAGCACAGGCTCAGTAGTTGTGGCACACGGGCTTAGTTGCTCTGTGGTATGTGGGATCTTCCCAGACCAGGGCTCAAACCTGTGTCTCCTGCATTGGCAGGCAGATTCTTAACCCCTGTGCCACCAGAGAAGCCATATTTATTCATTTTTTATCATAGTAATTAATAAACTTTCAGAAATGTTCTAATACTGCTATATAAAATCATGGCATTGGAGTAATATAATCAAATGTGTAGTAAAGTAAAAGTATAATTGTATTTTTCCTTTTACCTGTCAATTACATATCTTTTCTGTTTTAGGTATGACTTTAGCCTTTCCAGCTTCAGTTCATGATTCTCTGATTTGCAGTAAAACATTTCAAATTCTATATAAAAATGAGGAAGTTGTTTTGAACGATGTCATGATCTTCAAAGTTAAAATGTTGTTGGATGAAAAAAAGGTAAACATTTCTTCATATATATTTAGATAAATATTTTTTGTAAAGCCTCAAGGCATATTTCTAACTTTCTATAAAATATTCAAAAGGCAGCTCATAGTATAATTTCTCTTCAGATTGAAGAAACCCTTGAGGAAATGAATTTTCTGTTATCCTTGGATCTGCACTTCACAGATGGAGATTATTCGTAAGTAGGCTAATCAAACAATTAAAAATCGTAAGTTACTCGTAACTGTTATCTATCTGTATTAGAGTGTCCATTTTCTTCTTAGAACCCAGCCTACCCCCTTCTTTATTTTGGACTCCTTCTCCCTTCTGGGAGAGTCTCATGGGAATGGTTAGGCCTACTTTTTTGTGCCCATGCTGATTCCATGAGCTCCAGGTAGCAAAGTCAGACGACTTGAAGAAACATGAAACAGTTTCCTAGACTCTAGAAATTGCACAGTTGATACAGTACCACTGCCTTGAGGCATTTAAACACAACCGAGCTCTAGTCCACTGCATCACTGGCTTATCTTTCTTGGTGGCATGAGTGATGCCACCTTCAGGTGGGACTCTTGATATTCAGAGTTATCAAGACTGATGACTCTTAGACTTAACAGTTGTTTCCAGAGTCCATGAAGAAGTTTTAGGACTGGCTACCCTGAACTTGTCCACACATCCGGACATACAGTCATACATTGTAGGGACAAACTGTGCTTGTATTCATTTAAAACAAGAATCAGAGATCCATTTTACTATTTTAGTTTTGTGGGGTTGTTTTTCATTTCAAATGTACCTGTAGAAATACTTCTTGAAAATTGTATATAAATTCAGACTACATGTGGGATAAATGTCTAAATAGTTACAGTTCTCAAAGGTCTGCTTGTGAGATGTCCTCTTTACTACCATGGAGGAATAAGAATTTTTTACGTGGTGGCTACTGCTCCTCTGTAATACTTGTTTATTGTAGGGAATTCCCTGAGGGGTTCTTTTTGGAAACAAGTCAATTCTATAAGTGGAGTAAGCTGAAATGAGTAAATAGTTACTTAGCTGTAGGTAATTATAATGTACATATTGGTTAAAAATAGATATATATTTGGACATATTTTCATGGCATTGTTTCAATTTTTGTATGTGTAAATCTAATGACAGATTAAATATCTGTAATAAAATATATACCAATTATTGATACTTGCTTATTTTTGAGCAACACTTAATAACAAAATTTTGTACCATAAAAATTTCAAGCACCTTTTGGGATTTATCACAATAGGATTTGACCTACACTGTACTGCAACTTTATTATAAACAGTATTCCCTATGGAGTAAAATTTTAAGATGAGAGTATTTCCTAAAGTATCAAAAAGGACTCGTTTTGTAGGGGCATTAGTGAAAAACAGTCCATTAACATGGAAACTGTAAGTATAGTTAGAAAACTAGAAGTAAGATCTGGTTATTTTCTTTTTTTTTTTTTTTTTTTTTTTTTTTTTTTTTTTT